GGGCCGCGGGACAGCCTGCGGGCTGGAGGCCCCCGGCGGCCGCGCGGGTGGCGGGAAGGAGGAAGTTTCAAAGCCGAGCGGCCTGGTGGCCGCTGCTCGGCGAGATGAAGCTGCACTGCGACGTGGAGGTGACCCCCCGCCACTTGCCGGCCTTGGGGCTGAGGAACCGGGGCAAGGGCGTCCGAGCTGTGCTGAGCCTGTGTCAGCAGACACCGCGGAGCCAGCCGCGCCCCCGGGCTGGGGGCGAGCCGGGCGGCCCGCCGCGCGCCTGCCTGCTCATCTCCACCCTGAAGGACAAGCGCGGGACGCGCTACGAGGTGCGCCGAGCGGGGGTCCTGCAGGGGTCCCGTGGCGGGCGAGCCTCCGGCCTCGCGCCGCGCTGTGCCCGGGGCTGCAGCCGGCCTCGGGGTTCCTGAGCTGTGGCGGAGCTCCGACCCGAAGGAGTGTTCCAGAGAGCGCTGTTTGCGCTGTGGTGCTCGCTCTGCCACTCTGAATTCACGGCTCTGCTGTTTACCTGGAGGCAGGAGCTCCGCCCTGTTGAAGCCTCTGAAGTTTCCAAGGCGGGCAGCGATTGTAAATGAAGCAGCTGTCCAGTTTGGGAGTATATTGAAATAACTGCACTTGAGTTCAGTAAATTCTGTTTCTTGGCGCCCCTGAACTGACAGCGTGCTATTTATTACTACGTACCAACCGCGCCCTTTCCAAGCTTCTGAAATTCCAAACTGCGGGGCAGCAGGTTCAGTTTCATGCAGCTGTCCATTTGGGGGGTACAGTAGCATAACTGCACTGCATTCAGTAAATTCCGTTTCTCTTACAGTATTCTCTCCTAATTTTTTGCTTTTTTAAACAGGAGCTCTTAAGAAATGACTTGCAAGGTCAATAGGCCAGATAGATAGAATGGTAAAGCAGTAATGTATCAGGCTGCACCTTGATATTTTTATTAAATTTACTGGTTACCACATCCCACTTATTCCCCCTCAAACGTTTGATGTGAATTTTGAGATCCAGAGTGGATTTTTTTGTTTGTTTTGCTTTTTAAGGTCTTCACCATAGAGCAAGTACACTCTTTGAAGAGGAGTGAGAGAGAGAGCGAGACTGTGAGGGACAGTGAGCAATCACACCCCCCTCCAAGGAGAATGGACACGTACCACCAGTCCCTTCATTTTCCTGGGATTTTGGGAACACACAAACATGTGACTGGCATGACTTTCAAGCCACCAGATCTGGGACTCAAACCCGGAGGGACCCTGTCAAAGTCTAATACCTTAACCACTGTGCCACCTGCTGGCCCAGGTTCAGAGTATTTTCATTTCTGTGGAGCAGTAGGAAACTCTAGGGCCTTTTTTTAACACTGTTTTTGTTATTATTATTTTTCAGTTTGACTCGAGAGAGAGACAAAGCAAACCGACAGGACCAGGGCTTGAACCTCAGTCAGCCATGTTGGAAGCCAGCACCTCTTTTTTTACACCCTCTATTCTTCCTGTCTCATGACTTCAGTTACCATACATCTATGACTCCTATACTAACTCAGTCTTAGCTTCCACAACTGGACCTACTCCCTGCTTGAAATCTTCACTTGGATGTATTGCAGCACTTTAGTTTCACAATGTATAGAAATTAATTTTCCTTGCCACTCCCCAAACCAGCCCTTCGGATTCAGAAATCCTTGATTCTCCATGTCCAGTATATTAGTTAGTTTTTTCAATTCTGCCTCCTAAGTATCTCAAATTTGTGTATGTCCTTTATCCCAGCTGTCTTTTTTTTTTTTTTTTTTTTGAGAGAGAGAGATTTTTGCTATAGGGTGCATGCGCTCACCAGAGAGACAGAAAACGAGAACTCCCCACCCGGGGGAATGGCCACACTACAATCCCTTCTCCATTCTCCTCTCACAATTTTGGGCATGCATGCACAAGTGCCCAGTGTGAGTTTTAAGCCACTGGATCTGGAACTTGAACTGTGGTCGACTACTTGGAAATCCAGCGACATAACCGTTTCATCACCTGCTGGTCTCCAATCCCAGCTATCTTCTGAACTACCACCATTCCTTTTCTGGCTAGCCTTAGGAATTTCCCTACTTGGACCTTTGTCCTTCCCATATCTCATCCTCTCCTTTCCTAGAATTTATGCTTTACATTTTAGTTAAAGGGATTTGATTTTTATTATTTTACTTTATTTAGGTTTTGCTATAGAACTCATGTGCTCTCTGGAGGGAGATTGGGAGGTAGGTGAGAAATCACCTCCAGGAGGGATGGCCACATATCATTCCCTTCTGTATTCTCCTCTTGGGAGTTGGGGCACACATGTACACACCCCTCTTGATTCTAAAGCTGCCAGGTCCAGGACTCAAACCATAGAGTTGGTCATGTGAAAGCCAGCACCCTAACCTCCATGTCACCTGCTGGCTCTAATTAATGGAACTTAAAAAAAAAAGAAAAGATTTTTGCTATAGGATGCGTACTCTCGTCGGACGGAGAGTAAGAAATCACTCCCGGGAGGCGGGGGGGCGACTCTGCAATCCCTTCTCTTCCCAAAATCTTGAGCATGGACACACTGCATTCAGCTTGAGCTTCAGTCCCCTAGGCCAGGACTCAAACAGCATGATCATGCGAGAGTCCAGTGCCCCAACCGCTATGTTGACCCCTGAAGGAACTTTTAATACATGCATATCTAATCATGTTTCCTACCTTAAAATCCTTTGGTACATTTCATTGCTCCTAGGATAAAAACTGAAATTAATATGGGTTATAAAATCTTTCACCATCTAATCTGTTTACTCTTCATACTCACCTGCAAAGTCTGTCTTGTTTTCATGGCTTCACACACATTCCTTTTTATTTTTTATTTTTTGGCAATAGGGTGTGTGTGCTTGCCCAAGAGAGACAGAGGGAAAGTGAGGAATCACTCCCCAGTCCCTTCTGCATTCTCTCTGAATCTTGGGCACCATGCCCTGACTTTTTTAGGCCACCAGATTCAGGACTTGAACCACAGAGTTGGTCACCAGCCCTTCAACCACCACATTGCCTGCTGGCTGGCACGTGGTTTTTTTTTTTGTTTGTTTTGTTTTTGTTTTTTACTGGAATGCTATCCTCTTCATCTCTCCTCAGTTTTTGTTTGTTTGTTTGTTTGTTTTTATGGGGTTGTCAGGAAAGTCATGACTTTCTAATGACCTAATAGTTTGCTGGCTAGCCCAATCTCTCCTCAGTGTGTTCACTTGCCCAACATCTCCCAAACCTTCAGTTTTCACTTCTAAGGTTACCTTAATACTCTTAGACCAAATAAGATTTTCATGCTATGAAAGGTCATTGCAGGAGCCCACTGGTGTTTTAGTGATTAAGGCAGCTGGATTCCACATGGCCAGTTGAGAAGGTCAAATCCCAGACCAGCAGCTTGAAAAAAACACAGGTGTATGTACATGTGTGCCTAATATTTTTTTTTTTAATTTTTGCATGCGGACACCAGTGCTGCACCATTCTCTCCGCCACCTTCACCGTAGCCCTATGCCTAAAATCTTGAGAGGAGAATGAAGGAGAAGGGATTGCAACATGGCTATCTTCCTTGGGTGGTACTTCATCTCTCTGCAGTGAGCACACACACCTGATATATTTTTAAGAAGTTATTGCAGCCTGCACCACCCTTGTCTTAATAATTTCTCAAGTTTGTATTTCTTTGTTTAATAATTGTCTTTGGGACCAGCAGATGGAGTAGTAATTATGTCACTCGACTTCCACATGGCAGACTGGTTTGAGTCCCAGACCCAGTGGCTTGAAAATCACACTGGGAGCATGTGTGTTTGTGCCCAAGATCCCTAAAGAAAGGATTTCAGGGTGACTATCTCCCCTGGGGGGGTGATTTCTCATTTGCCCTTTCATTATCTCTGTTTCTTTCTCTGGTGAGTACATGCACCCTGATATAAAAACCTCTGAAAAAAAAAAGTCTCATTAGATTGTTAGCTTTCTAAGTGTAGTTACCATGTCAGTTTTATTCACTCCTCTGTCCTAAGCCCCTATCATAGTAAGTGATACATGGTGGCCTTTCAGTAAATAGTTGTTGAAGTCTAAAGCAGAAGCAGCATCAGTCATTAAAATTTTTGAGCATTGGGCCAGCCAGTGGCATGATGGTTAAGCCTGCTGGATATTACATGACCAACTGCAGTTTGAGACCCAGACCTACAGGCTTGAAAACGCCAGGAGTTTGTGCGTTTCTGCCCAAAACCCCAAGGGGACAAGTGAGGAGGGATTGCAGTGTGGCCATCCCCTGCCCCACTCTTCCTGGGTGTGCTTTCTCACATTCCCTCCCTCTCTCTAGTAAATGCACATTCTATAGCAAATTAAGAAAGGAAGGAGGGAAGAAAGAAAAGTTCATGTTGAGCATCTATTGTGTGTCTGTCACTATCCTAGCTCTGTGGATATAATAATAAAAGAGAGAAGATTTCCACTTGTGGAGTTTATATGAAATCTAGTGGAAGGCATGCCTCCCCCAAACAAATGAACTGAGGTTATTAATGCAAGTAGCTACTACTGACAGCTGTTACTGTAGGTAGTTAGAGTGGGAGAAAAACAACACATCAACAACAAACTGTTAAACACTCGGACTTCCAGTCTGAAAGCCAAACTAATGCCTGGTAGAGTGACTGGTACATAGAATTTGTAATAAATGTTATTGAGTAACAACAGCAAGTTTTGTCCTTTTTTCCCATTGATTTTATACAGCTAAAGGAGAATGTTGAGCAGTTCTTCACCAAATTTGTAGAAGAGGGGAAAGCCACTGTTCGGTTAAAGGAGCCTCCTGTGGATATCTGTCTCAGTAAGGTATGATATTAAAAATATCAATGGGGCCAGCTCATGGTGTGGTGGTGAAGGTGGCTGGATCCCACACAGCCGATCATGTGGTTTGAGTTGCAGAGCTTGTGACTTGAGAAACATGCTGGGCTCATGTACTTGCATGCGCAAAATCCTGAAAGGGAGAAGAGAAGAGGTATTGCCATGTGACCATTCACTGTGAGGGATGCTTTCTGTCTCTCTAGCAAGCGTGCATGCCCTTTGGCAAGAAATTAAAAAACAAAACAAAACAAAACAAAAAATCAGTAGTTAGTTGCTTGGTTGTACTTTCTTTAAAGAGCATCCTGATATCCCATATAGGGAGTAGGGACAGACTTCTAGAGGTGTAGTTGAAGAGGGGATGGCTTAAGAGACAGCTTCCCCAGTATGCTTGAAGTCTTCTGAAAGAGCAGTTATCCTTAGTAAAGTTCCCAGGATGGGATGAAAATTGGATTCGCCTCTGCGCCCAAGATGGAGCCTTAGGGTGTTCTTAAACTGAACCTCTGTCAGGCAGGAAGCACAGGTCTACATTTTATCAGCTAAATCACAGCTCATGAATACAAACTTTGGTTTAAAAAAGGGGGCTAAAATGCAATTAGAACCATATAATTTTGTATTTTATATACTGTAACCAATTTTTTTTTTTTTGAGAGGTTTTTACTGTAGGGTGCATGCGCTCGCCAGAAAGGCAGAGAGAGACAGAGAGACAGAAAGCGAGAAATAACCCCCCAGGGGGGATGGCCACACCACAATCCCTTCTCCTCCATTCTCCTGTTGGGATCTTGGGCATGCATGCACATGTACCCGGTGTGATTGTAAACCACCGTGTCTGGGACTCGAGCTGCAGTTGACTACATAGGAGTCGGGGGACATAGCCATTAAGCTAACTGCTGGTCCCAACTGTAACCAATTTTTAAAATAACATTCAAATAAAATTTTTCTTTGCCCCATCTTCCTTTGTTTCTTTTTTTCCCTTCCTAAAGGATATTAATAGTATCTTATTCAACCTTATATTATCCGAAACTCTAAAATGCTTTGCAAACATTTGAAGTTTAGTAACTATTTAAGGCATTTGAACTGAATGGGATCGTATTGTCCTACCTTATTGTTGTGATTTTTCATTGATCTTCAGCATATCCTTCTAAGAACTTCTTATTCTTTTTTCTCTTTTGAGAAAGTTATGCTATAGTTTTCATGGACTTGCTAGAGACAAAGAGACAGAGACACAAAGCAAGAAATCACCCCCCAATGGGGGGTGGCCATGCCACAATCCCTTCTCTTCCGTCCTCATTTCTGGATTTTGGGCACACACACATGCACACCTGGCATGAGTTTCAAACTGCTGCATCCAGGACTTGAACCTGGTTGGCCAGGTGAGAGTCCAGGACTTTAACCACTACGCCACATGCCAGCCCCCTAACTTCTTTCTATCCTAAACCAAGCTAATGTCTTAATGATTGAAGAAATAAAAAATAATGGGACCAGCGTAATGGCTATGTCACTGGACTCCCATGTAATCAACCATGGTTCGAGTCCCGGACCTGGTGGCTTAAATTCACGCTAGGTGCTTGTGTGTGTATGCCCAAGATCCCGAGAGGAGAGTGGAGGAGAAGGTATTGTGATGTGGCCATCCCCCCTGGGGGGTGATTTCTTGCTTTCTATCTCTGTGTCTTTCTGATAAGTGCATGTGCCCTATAGTAAAAACCTCTCCAAAAAAAAACAAATAAATAAAATAGACTCATTTCTGGAAAGGCAAGGCTGAATCCATTATTTTCACTTCTTACTATCCCTTTTGATCTTTACTTTGATTGGTTTATTGAAAACTCACAAATCAGTGATTTCCTTCCTGTTTGACAGTCAAATTGTCACTATTTCCCATCTTTGGGGAGTCTATAGGATTTGACACCAGTGACCACCCTTTTGTTAATAAAACTCTTTATTGGCATCTGTGATAGGACGCTACCTTGGTTTCCTTTCAGTTTTCTCAGCAACTCCTGTGTATCTCATCTAGTAACATTTTTCTTTCTTTCCTTTTCTCCCTCCCTCACCCTACAAGAGGGTACATACAGGGACAGAGATGGAGGGACACATGGTCACACTGCAGGCCTTCTCCATTTCTCTACCCCTTCTGGATTTTGAGTACACACACACATGGCCTGGTGTGTTTCTCAAGCCACCAGATCCAGGACTTGAACTGCATAGTCAGCTGTGTGGGATCTGGTTCTTTTAACCACCAGACCCCATAGCCAACTCCCTGGCAATTTTGTTGTTGTTGTTGTTCCCAAATAAAGGCTTTATTTTCTTTTTCTATAGTTTCTTCCCCCCCCCCTTTCTCTCTCCCTCTCTCTTTGTCCCTTTCTGGCCAAATTAAAAATAACTAAATAAATAAAGTTAAATAAAATAATCCTTTTAAAAAAAGTTTTATTGCTAGAAGGTACATGTGCTTGACAGAAAGCATCCTCCAATGGGGTTAAGTCATGCCACAATCCTTTTTTCTCTGCCCCATCAGGATTTGGGGTATGCATGCATGCACATGTACCAATCCTAGGTCTGAGATTCTGGCTGCCATCAGCCACATGTGTATGTTTCTTGGAATTTCCCAGCCAGGTTCTGACTCCTGAGACAAGTAGGCCTGATTCTTTTTTTTTTTTAAGTTATTTATTTAATTCCATTTGTTATTATTATATTTAATCAGGGAGAGAGAAAGGGAAAGTGAGAAAACAAGGTTCCAGGTCCGGGAATCAAGCCATAGCTGACCACTAGGAGTCCAGCGTCTTAACCACCACACCACTGCCGGTCCCTGCAAAGACTTTATTTCAATCCTCTTCCTGTTCTATACCAGACCTGCCTTCTATTCCCACAGCTCAGCTGTAATTGTGGGTGACTCCCAAGACTGTAAGCCCCTGCTGTACCTAGGTGACCCACATCTCCAGACTTTTGCCACTCGTGTTTATTCTGTCCACTGCTGCCAAAATAATAATGTATTCCTTTTTCTGTGTGTGGAGAAGTTTTTGCTATAGAGCACATGCACTTGCCAGAAAAACAGAAACAAAGAGACAGAAAGCAAGAAATCACCCTCCAGGGGGGATGGCCACACCACAATCTCTTCTCCTCCATTCTCCTCTTGGAATCTTGGGCAAGCATGCACACATGCCTGGTGTGAGTGTGAGCCACCGGGTCTAGGACTTGAACCGCGATCGACTACATGGGAGTCCAGCAACGTAGCCATTATACCACCTGCTGGTCCCGTCAACTCTAGTCTTTACAAATGGTATCCTGGGCATTTAATGTACCCAGCATTGGCCTGTCTCAGAAGGAGTAGAGGTCTAAGTCTGTTCATCTTTGACAGAAATCTTAAATGGAATTTTATTTTTTAATTTTTTTAGAGGTTTTAAAAGCCATAGGGGGACCTAGTGGGTAGCGTGGTGGTTAAGGGTGCTGGACCCCCATGGAGCCGACCACAGTTCAAATCCCGGACCTGGTGACTTTCTCACTTCTCTCTCTCTCTCTCTCTCTCTCTCTCTCTCTCTCTTTCTCTTTGTCCCTCTCTGGTCAAATTTTTAAAAAAACAATAAATAAATGGATAAATAAAGTTAAATAAAATAATTTTTTTTTTGAAGTCATAGGGTACATGCATTTGCTGGGAGAGACAGAGACAGTGACAGGAAAAGTGAAAAATCACCCTCCTGGGGCAGTGACCATGCCACAATCCTTTCACCATTCTCCTGGGATTTGGGGCATGCATGCACATACACCTGGTGTGATTTTAAAGCCACCAGGTCCACAACTTAAACCACATTTGGCCATGTCAGAGTCTAGCTCCACGCCACCTGTTGTCCCCCTTAAATGAAAATTTAACATATTCCTATCTTATTTAATACTCTTATGATTTCCCCTTTGAACAGTTTTGTTTTTAGTTTGATAATTGGACATATGCACTCTCCGGAAAGAGAGAAATCACCCCCAAGAGGGAATGGGCACATTGCAATCCCATCTCCTCTTGGGATTTTGAGCATGCACATACGTGAGCCCATTGTAATTTTCAAGCTTCTTAGCCCAGGACTGAAACCACAAAGACAGTCGTGTGGGATCCAGCTGCCTTAACCTCCAGACCGCCTGCTGGCCAAATAGTTTTATTTAAAATATGTCAGCATTTCCTCTCTCTCTCTCTCTCTCTCTCTCTCTCTCTCTCTCCCCCCCCTCTCTCTCTCCCCCCTCCCTCTCGCATCAAAATTTTAAATAAATAAATAAAGTTAAATAAAATAATTCTTTTCTTTTTGGAGAGGTTTTTGCTATAGGGCACGTTCACTTACCAGAAAGACAGAGAGACAGAGACACAGAAAGCAAAACAATCACCCCTCAGGGGGAAAGGTCTCACCACAATCTCTTCTCCTCCATTCTCTTCTCAGGATCTTGGGCACACATGCACACGCGCCCAGTGTGAGTTTAAGCCACAAGGTCCGGGACTCAAACCACGGTCAACTATATGGAAGTCCAGCGACATAGCCATTACACCAACTGCTGATCCCCCTAAGATAACTCTTTTTTTTGTTTGTTTTTGGAGAGGTTTTTGCTATAGGGCACGTGCGCTCGCCAGAAAGACAGAGAGAGACAGAGAGATAGAAAGCGAGAAATCACCCCCCGGGGGGATGGCCATGCTGCAATCCCTTCTACCTTGGGGATCTTGAGCATGCACACACACGTGCCCAGCGTGAGTTTAAGCCACTGGGTCTAGGACGCAAACTGCGGTTGGCTACATGGGAGTCCAGTGACATAGCCATTACACTAACTGCTGATCCCCCCTAAGATAACTCTTAAAAAAGTGTCAGCATAATTTTTAAGACTTGTAAAGTTAAAACTTAGTGAAACTAGAATGCTAAAAAAAATATTTTTTACAGTTAATTTCAATAAATGATTTATCACTTTCATATGTAACTATAGAATTTATTATGAAAAGAACTAGCGTGTATATGGTATCTAAAATGATATTTGTAACTTACAATTTATTTTTGTTTGTTCAGGCCAACTCTGGAAGTTTAAAGGGTTTTCTTTCAGCTGTAAGACTGGCTCATAGAGGTTGTGATGTTGATGTACCACTTTCAACGCTCACACCAGTGAAGACGTCAGAATTTGAAAAATTTAAAACTAAAATGGTTATTACATCCAAAAAGGACTATCCTCTAAGCAAAAACTTTCCACATTCTCTGGAACAGCTTCAAACTTCTTACTGTGGACTTGTCCGGGTTGATATGCGTATGCTTTGCTTAAAAAACCTTAGGAAGTTAGACTTGAGTCACAACCATATAAAAAAGCTTCCTGCCACAATTGGAGACCTCATATACCTTCAGGATCTTAACCTGAACGACAATCACTTGGAGTCATTTAGTGTAGCCTTGTGTCAGTCTACACTCCAGAAATCACTCCGGAGTTTGGATCTCAGCAAGAACAAAATCAAGGCACTCCCTGTACAATTTTGTCAGCTCCGAGAACTTACAGATTTAAAACTTGATGATAATGAATTGATTCGATTTCCTTGCAAGATGGGACAACTAACAAACCTTCGTTTTTTGTCAGCTGCTCGAAATAAGCTTCCATTTTTGCCTAGTGAGTTTAAAAATTTATCCCTTGAGTACTTGGATCTTTTTGGAAATACTTTTGAACAACCAAAAGTCCTTCCAGTTGTAATGCTGCAAATGCCATTAACTTTATTGGAATCTTCTGCACGCACCATACTGTATAATAGGTAAGACTTTGATAGTCATGAAATGTGGTACCTTTAATAGCATCCTAGTATTCTCATCAAACTCAATAGTAATAGTCAAACTGTAATAAATATGGTACACAGTGTGATCCTTGCTACAATGGCCTTTTTGCTGCTCCTTAACTCTGAATGATTTTCCTTGGGTTCGCTCCTGTGGCCTAGTAGTTAAAGGAGCCAGGTCCTACTTGGTCAACTCTGCTGCTCAAATCTCGTACCAGTGGCTTAGAAAACACAATAGAGGCCAGCAGGTGGCATGGTGGTTAAAGCACTGGACTCCCATATGGCTGATTACAGTTCAAGTCCCAGACCTGGGGCTTGAAACTTACACCAGACACATGCCCAAAATCCCAAGAGGAGAATGGAGGAGAAGGGATTGTGGCATGGCCATCCCCTTTGGGGATCATTTCTTTCTCTCTCTGACACACACTCTATGGGGGAAAAAAATGCTGAATGCATACCCATACGTGCCCCAAATCCTGACAGGATAGAGAAAGGGGAAGAGAGACAGGATTGACCATGTCCTATTAGGGGGTACTTTCACCCTTTCTCTGGTAGGTTCAGGTATGATTGTGAATTTAAGGGAAGTCTAAGTAGTGTCTTTTGGCAATGAATTGCTCCCAAGGCTTTTGTTCTTCTGAGATAGATATTATATTTGTACTTAGTTGAATTTGAAAGTTGTATCAAAATGTAAAGTATAGTAATGGTGTTTGATGATTTGAAAACCTACACATTGGCTAAATGATTGAAGTCCAAGATGGAAAAGTGCAGAGTTGGAAGAAAAAATTAGATGGGGGACCAGTAGTTAGCGTAATGGCTATGTCACTGGACTCCCATGTAACTGACCGTGGTTCGCCTCCTGGACCCAGTGGCTTAAACTCACACCAGGCGCGTGTGCTTGCGTGTCCAAGATCCAGAAGAGAATGGAGGAGAAAGGATTGTGGCGTGGCCATCCCTCCTGGGGGATGATTTCTCACTTTCTGTCTCTCTGTCTCTCTGGTGAGTGCACGCACCCTATAGCAAAAACATCTCCAAAAAAAAAAAAAAAATAGATGGATGATCAAAATGTGGTACAATAGACAAGGCATGGGCTAGCCAGTGGCATTGTAGTTAAAGCAGCAGGATCTCACGTGGTCAACTCTGTAGTTCAAGTCCCATACTCAGTGGCTTGAAAAACACACCAGGTAGGTGTATGTGCATGCCCTGAAAGGATGGAGAAATGGAAGAGAAGGGATTGTGGCATGACCATTGTGTGTGTGTGTGTGTGGGGGGGTGCTTTCTCTCTTTCTCTGTGTGTGTCTTCCCCTGGCAAGCATATGTGCCCTCTGGCAAATCAAAAAGAATAAATAATAGGTAAGGCACAATTCAGAAAAAATTTTTAGTGGTAAAAGAGCATTATATTAGATTGTCAGGAAAGTAATGATGCTTTTTTTTTTGGAGGGATGTTTTGCTATAAGGCATATATGCTCGACAGAGAGACTGAGCTAGAGAGCAAGAAATCACCTTCCCCCCAGGGGGGGACGGCCATGCTGCAATCCTTTCTCCATTCTCCTCTTGAGATTTCAGTCACACACTCACAAGCTCCCAGTGTGAGTTTCAAGCTGCCGGGTTCAGAACTCGAACCTCAGTCAGCTATGTGGGAGTCCAGTGCCTTAACTACCACGCCACCTGCTGGCCCCAGTCTTGATCATTTTTACATGGAAAAACATGTCATGACTTTTCCAATGGCCCAATATTATTATTTTTAAACTTGACCTCTATTAATATAATTTTGCATGTCTTTAGCCTTGTTTTTATTTTAGAGAAAGTTTTCCTATAGGGCATATCCACTTGCCGGAGTGACAGAGACAGAAAGCGAGAAATCACCCCCCCACACACACCCAGTGGGGATGGCCACACCGCAATTCCTTCTCCTTAATTCTCCTCCTGGGATCCTGGGCATGCACATGCACCTGGGATGAGTTTTAAGCCACTGGATCCAGGACTCTAACCACGGTTGACTACGTGGTTGTCTAGCCACGTAACCATTATGCCATCTGCTGGTCCTTAGCCCATTCGTTAAAATATATATGTATATGTCAAGATCTAAAGTGGTAACAGTGATACTTATTATCCAGTTGTTGATAAATGGTTACAAACATAAAGTTAGGGTTTCTTAGGAAAATATGTAGAAATTTTAGTTGTTAGAAAGTAACAATTTTTAAGTGATATCTGTTTTCTCAGCTTTTAATCAAGTAGCCTGAGGCAACTAAGTAACTCTTCTTGGGAGAATTTTATAAAGCTGCTACTTACAAGCAACAAATTAATACACCTTTTGTATGAAAAATTACAAGTAAGGCCAATCGTAGTTCTCCTACCAAAGGTAATCACTATTTTTTTTTTGTTTGATATGTATCTTCTCAGACTTTTCTAATAGTGTTTTTAACTCTAGCTTAAGTTATAAAAGTAGGTTTACTTATTTATTGGACAATATGTGAATGCATATAATTTGCTAGCCTAGGCTAGGTGCAAGAGAAACAACAAAAAAACAAGTGGGAGACTAAGTGACTGGGGCATAGTTTTGTTTAGTGGTGAGGAGTTGGGCAGTGGGCAGGCAATCTCCTGTTTCTTAGTGTCTTGATGATACTTAGTTTGACTTGATTTTAATTGCATTGAGTATGATTGAAGGGTGTTTAAGTAAGAGTACAAGATGGTTTAATTAAGCAAGGCAATGTTAGCTTACTTGCTCAGCAAGGAGAGAAAAATTAATGTATAAAACATGTATTTTAAATTTGTTTTACACCAGTTTAAAATTCCCTTTTGAACAATTGATGCCTAGGAGAGTATACATAATAGACATATTTTATTTATTTTTTTCCTTAAAGTTTTGCTATAGGGTGTGTGCACTTGCTGGAGAGAGTCAGAGAGTAGGAGTTAGAAAATATTCCCCACAGGTAATGGCCACACCACAATCCCTTCTCTTCCACGCTCCTCGTCAGATTTTTGGGCACACATGCATGCACATGCATGGCCTCAGCATAATTTTCAAGCCACCAAGTCCAGGACTCAAACCACTGTCAGCCATGTGGCAGTCCACCACCATAACCACTAACTGATCTCCTGGTCCCAAGTACAAATTTATATATGAAATATGTGGTCTTACATGATTGCAAATACTTGGTATAGTGAATACTAAGGCGGGAGAGACAAAGACTGAGAAAGGATTCTTGAGACTCACACAGACTGAGAAAGGTAATTCCTTGCTCTGGACAGCTGGCCTAAAATAGGAGTGGTCATTAAACAGGTTGTTAGGTGACTAGTGGCCGTATAGCCTCGGTTCACAATATGTCACATGATGTTTCTTAGTGTATTTTCTCCATGCTTAGCAGGTGGAAGGATGCAGCAGTCTACTGAATCACTTAAGTAATGAAGTAATTTAATTTTTCCATCATTACAATTCAGTGTCCTAATAACTGATGTCCTAATACATGCAATTCCTAATCTAGTAACAAATTATAAAATATTTTTAAACCATTTTTTTTCTCTATAGGATTCCATATGGTTCTCATATCCTTCCTTTCCATCTTTGCCAAGACTTGGATACTGCAAAAACCTGCGTTTGTGGAAGATTCTGTCTCAGTTCTTTCATTCAGGAAACTACTACCATGAACCTACACTCTGTTGCTCACACTGTGGTCTTAGTAGATAACATGGGTGGCACTGAAGCAGCTATTATCACTTATTTCTGTTCTCTCGCCTGTTACGTAAATTCCTCTGATACATTAAAGTGATGGGTGTTACCCCAAATGGAAATTTCATTTAGTTACAGATCAGTTTGGGATTTATTTATGATTAACAAAGGCAATTTGGAGAAAGACAAGTTTTTGTATAAATGTTTGAAACGAAGAATATGTGTTATTCTAACATCTTAAGTTATTGGACTCTAAAACTTTACTGCCATTAAAAGCAAATTTGATTTTATTGTGGAGTCAACCTTTTATCAGTTTATTGAACTTGTGTTGATTATAGCATAAAGTTTTCAGGATGCCCTACAGGGTTGTCTTTAATGTAAAGTAGATACTGATCTCGATCACTTTGGATATAAGAATTTTCTTACCAGCTTCCTTTTTCCATTTCAATTAAATTGAGCTTTTATGTGTGGAAAATAGACCTTGGAGAACTAACATGTTCTAAATTACAGTGAAGACTTGTTTAGTATGAAACTATTAATATATGGGGCCAGTGGCATAAGGGTTAAGGTAGCTGGATCCCATATCACTGTGTGCTTCAAGTTCTGGACCTGGTGACTTAAACACATTGGGCACATACATGCCCAAAATCCTGAGGGGGAAGATAAGGGATTGCAGCATGGCTATACCCCTTGGGTGGTGCTTTCTCACTTTCCTCTTTCTCTCTCCCTCCTTTCTTCCCTCCCTTCCTCCAGCAACAGTGTATCCCCTATACTAAATTAAACTTTTTAAACTTTAAATTGAAATTTAAAATGTATATGTAAGCATGCCACTTTTTGTGTTTCTCAGGTATATTATTCTACTTAGGGAATTTATAATAACTAGGCATAAAGTAGGAATTGCTTTGGGACAAACTGACTTCATCTTTTTAAGTTTGCTATGGGGTGCTGGGACCAGCAGTTAGCATAATGGCTATGTCGCTGGACTCCCACATAGTCGACTGCATTTCGAGCCCCAGACCCAGTGTCTTAAACTCACGCCAGGCGCGTGTGCGTGCGTGCCCAAGATCCCGAGAGAATGGAGGAGAAGGGATTGCGGCATGGCCATCCCCCTTGGGGTGTGATTTCCTGCTTGCTGTCTCTCTGTCTCTCTCTGTCTGGCGAGCACACGCGCCCTATAGCAAAAAACCTCTCCAAAAAAAAAGTTTGCTATGGGGTGCTTGTACTCACCAGGGAAAAACCGAGAAAGTGAGCAATCATCCCCACCATGTACTCACCAGGGAAAAACCGAGAAAGTGAGTTATCATCCCCACTGTGGGGTTGGGGCAGGAGGGATGGCCACATGGCAATCCCTTTTCCATTCTTCTCCTGAGGCTTTGGGAGTGTACCCATATGTGTATTTTTCAAGCCACCGGTCCCAGAATCAAACTGCACAAAAGGCAATGTGGGAGCCAGCTTCCTTAACCACTACACCATCAGCTGGCCCTAAGCTTTATGATACTCTTCACATAATGTTTGTTGTGTTTATTATTCTTGTCACTCAGTATGTTTTAAGTTTTTAACTTAAAATGTCGTAGCAATACACCAACTAAATTATGGTGATTTGAACTGGGACAGAAGAAATGGAAATGGAATCAGCTTGAAAGAATCATGGAAAATAGAATCAGTACTAGCTGTTCCATTCTATTTCCTGCTGCGCTACTTCAAATCTCCACTAGACCATTGCAGTGGCCTGGTAGCTGCTTTAGGGGAATGAAGGAGAAGAGAGAAAGTTTCTAGAGAAACCCCCTCTTCATTGTTAGCATAATATCATTGCTGTCTTAGGCTTGGGGGTGAGGTCTTTATAAACACTTTCTTACAAAATAACTACCTTCTTCCCTTGTCTTCCTAAAATGGTTCTCATTTGGGGCATTTCTTTTCCTTTTCTGAAAACTCAAACTATTCCTGAATAAATATCATTTTAGATATTAGAAAACTTTTGTTAAAATGTATTTATATATGATCTTCAAAATACAGTTTTGACTCAGGTGATGCTGAGATCGTAGTATAGGCATCAGTCCAGATGAGTAATTCTTTTGTTGAATATAAATTTGTACTGCTAGTGGTCAAATTCTTCCTGCAAAAAAATTCATTAAGTGAAACATATAATACAAACGTGCCTTAAACAAAAGAGCCACCATTTATCTGGTCTCTACTCTGTTCCAGGTGTTTTATATACAGTATTTTATTAATCCTCACATATCACCCTAAGGAAGATACATGAATCCTGATCAGAGATTTTTAAATTTATTCCGTGAGTGAGAGAGGTACAGCATCCCTAACAGGTTCTGACACCAAGTCCCACCATGGCCTTAGACAGCCTGGACCACGGGCACATGTATGTGTGTATCTGGCATACTCACGGGAGTCTCCAGATATGAACCAGTAACTTTCCCATGAGGGCATGCCTCAGTGAAGACTACATTTTACTACCGAGCCATAGTCCAGGCTCACAGATCAGAGATTTTCTTTAAACTGTTTTTTTTTTTCCCGCTTTATTGGCCAAAGGGTATGTGCATTGGCATGGGCATGAGTATGGTCACACCAGAATCTCTTCATCCTGTTGGGATTATTATTATTATTTTTTAAGAATTATTTAATTTCATTTGCTAATATTATTTTTAATTTGACCAAAGAAAGGGAAAGTGAGACAGCAAGCCACCAGGTCAGGATTTGAACTGTAGTTGGCCATGTGGAAGTCTAGCACCCTAAACACAATGCTACTTGCTGGGCCCCATCCTGTTGGTATTTTGGACATACAGCACATTGCACATTTGAACTGTGATCCATCATGTGGGTTCAGCCTTTAAGCCCAAGCTTTATACTACCTTCTCAAGGTAACCCACTTTTGGTTTTTAAAACCAAGAAGTCTATATAGTATTTTAGGATTTCCCACAATTATAACTGCTAAGGGATTGCCTAGAAGTATTACAATCACTGTTATTAATGTAGTTCTTTAAAAAGTGATGTATCTAAAAATCGACTTGTATATGTCTTATTTCTACATATTATTGTAGAAAAATATTTTTTCATCAGCAAGTGCAGCTATATTGAAACTAAGTCCTAACCATCTGTTACTCCTACACCCTAGCTTTTGCATTCTTCTCATTTAGTCATCTCCATGTATCATACAGTAGACTTAAGTTCACAAACAGAAATCAGAATTTGTCCTCTTATAACCTTTTTCCTAGTTTACTTTTTGATATTTAACTTATCTTTCATGAATTACTAGGCTCAATTCTTTACATTCTGAGTATCACCTTCTATTAGTTTTGTCCTAAGTGTTTACCTCCTCAACCCTCAGTTGTTCTAACATTTGAGTTACCTTCTAGACTTTGTCTTAAGAGGTCCAGTAAGAGGGGTCAGCAGGTGGCATGGTGGTTTAAGGCAGTGGATTCCCGCATGGCCAAGGGTGGTTTGAATCCTGGACTCAGCAACTTGAAAAATAATGCCAAGCCTACATGTGTGTATACATGCCTGCAGTCCTGAGAGAATGGAGAAGGGATTGTGGCATAGCCACCCCCCATTGGGGGTGATAGAGCTCCAATAAACAGTGTTTATCTTGGACTCATCTTGTCTTCACGATCTTTAGAACCTTTTAAGTTGGAAGTCAGATACATTTCTAATTAGCTCCATGTTGCTAGTAGCCCCTACTGGACAACACATTCATTATAGAGAGCTCTTAATTATGCCTCAACTTGTATCCTCCACCCCATTCATCATCTATACACAGGCGTACTTCATCATTACTTTTTTTTTTTTTTTTTTAAATGTCTCTTGTCACGACACATGCACTGGCCAGTGACAAAGGGGAAATGAGAAATGACCTCCCAGGGTAGAAAACCACACCATAGTCCATTTCCTCCAGGGATTTTGGGCATACAACCACATATTCCAGGAGTGATTTTCAAGCTGCCAAGTCTGGGACTGGAACTGTGGTCAGTCTTATGGAAGTCTAGCACCACAACCACAACGCCACCTCCTGGCCCCTTCGTTGCCTTTTTCACCATCTGATTGAGACCATCCCAGCTGCTCATCACTCATGATTATGAATTCACACAACACAACATGTATATTTGAAATTGACCAAAAGACAAAAAGTATTATTTTCCCCCTTTATATATGATTTATCCCTGTAACTTAGTTGTAAAGTTTGGGGTGGACTTCTGTGTTCTTTACACAGAATTCCAATAAAGAAGTGAGGCTCTTAGGGAACCAGCAGTTAGCGTAATGGCCATGTCGCTGGACTCCCACGTAGTCGACCGCGGTTCGTGTCCCGGACCCGGTGGCTTAAAACTCACGCCGGGCGCGTGTGCGTGCGTGCCCAAGATCCCGAGAGGAGAATGGAGGAGAAGGGATTGCAGCGTGACCATCCCCCCTGGCGGGTGATTTCTCGCTTTCTGTCTCTATGTCTCTCTCTGTCTGTCTGGCGAGCGCACGCGCCCTACAGTGAAAATCTCTCCAAAAAAAAAAAAAAGTGAGGCTCTTAGAAGCTAAAACTTAATTCACACCTAAAGAATTCATTTTTTTACCCCCTGAATTTAGAACCACACTAAACACTGCAATTCTAAGTCAAAAAACACAAAAGGTTTGATTAAGAATATCACCATTTATTTTTCTACAGGTAAATTTTCTGTATCTTCAGCATTTTCTGCTCAAAATTAAGAGAACAAAGCAATCTCAAAGTTTAGAACTGGATCACCTGGCCCTTTCTCTTCTTATCTCCCCCCAGTTCAAAATGTTTGCATCTTTTAATGGCCAGCATCCTCTTGGATCTGCAGTTCGGTTCAACACACTCAAGCCTTAGGACAATCTTCTTTGTGGTTTTAGCCTTCTTCCGGAAAATTGGCTTTGTCTGCCCACCATAGCCACTCTGCTTCCGGTCGTAGCGCCTCTTCCCTTGAGCATACAGGGAATCCTTGCCCTTCTTATACTGGGTCACTTTGTGAGGCTGATGCTTGCCACATTTCTTACAGAAAGTCCTTCGAGTTTTAGGTACATTGACCATCTTGGCAGTTGAGCTGTCTTCACGTTGAGAACTGTAGTAAAATATTTAAAATAAGGCAATGAACATTAAACAGCTTCAAATGTAAAAGCGTTTGGTAGAAAAATAGTATTACATAAATTAGTAAAGCATAAATCCATCAAGTACTCATTCTCATTATGAATAAATGCACATCCAGATGCACACCTTTGTTGACTGCTTAAATTACTGAAACATTTACAGAACAAGATTCACTAAAAAACAAGAGCAGTAATACTGGGAAGCTTAGTACAGTGATCCATACAAAGTGGGTTTCCTCAGGGCTTAATTTATTGTGGCTGCCCAAGAACTAAAGCGCAGTAGCGTTTACCGTATTTTCCTCGACAGAAAGAGAAGGTATTTTGTTTTCGATTCCCCGTCCAAGACCAACTCATTTTTTAGCTCTTTGGGTGTGGCTGGTGCAGTGTGCGACGTAGACTGCTACTGCTCCGGCTGGTCCCGTCCCTTCTCCGACCCACGTCGGTCGGTTTCACTTTCCCCCTCCGAAGCACCGGCACCCGTCAGCAGCCCGAGAGCTGACGTGTCCCTAACAAGACTGCGCGCCTTGCGGCCCAGTCGCCGCCATGCGTGAGCCCCGTTCCAAGGGAAGACGTCAGCCCCTAAGCTCAACCGAGCCAAGGAAGCAGGTCTCGCCTACTCTTCCCTACAAGGATGTACCCAACCCCAGATTCTGAGTAGCGGAGGCTCCTGCCGGAACCGCTACGACCCAATTCTTAGCTTACCGAGAAGTCGGCGTGCACGACCCTCGCCTCGCGCAGCTCGCGCCTAACAGGAAAGGGAGGAACGCAACGGAAGTAGGAACTGCACCTGAGCGACAGTATCGCGAGCCAATAGGCAGTCGAGGGTCGGGGGACCAAATGGGCGGCCGGCCGCCACGGCCAGGCACCTCCGGACGCGTCTGGGAAGCACCAATCAACGGCCTAAGGGGCGGGCCGGAGGGGTGTGGGCCAGAGGGCCGCGGCGTTCCGCCGGCCAGTCGCGGGTTGTCAGGACGGTGGTTGCCGGAGTGGGGCGAGGCTGCGTCGCTGGGTCTTGACGGTCCGGGGCCAGCGTCAGGATGAGAGCGCAGAGGACGCAGGGCTGTTGGAGGTGCAGGTAACCGAGCTGGGGTGCGGTGGGGCCGCGGCTGGGCTTGTTCCGGGACCCGTGGTGCTGAATGGAGAGGACCGAGGCAATGCCGAGCCGTGGCTCCTAGCGGCGGGGGGGGCGGCTGACGCCGGCCGC